AGAATAAAATAATGTCAAATATTTCAACCTTCTTAACAAAACAAGAATTTAAAAACCTCTACGGAGAGAGAATTTATATCATTACACACCATTTGGAAAAATTATACAAGAAAAGAACAATAGAAAAACAAAATATTAGATTTCTTGTACAATGCAAACAACATAACCTAATACCAAATGGGTTCAAATTAAAGAACAACACGAATTTGAATAAAAATGAAAAAGTATTAAGACAAACTATGTACAAAATCAGAAACAACACCTTACAACATAAACAAAATCAATTAAGATGTATTAATATAGAAATTAACACGCAGAACTCAATATTAAATCATTATTTCAAAACATCACAACCAACACGACAACATCAAGATGATCTGAGATGGATAAATAAATTTAATGAAAATTTTGAAAATAAGTTGATAAAAAAGCACGATAAGAAAATAAAACTATTAAAAGAAAAACAAGTGCAACCACAATCAACAAAACCACAAACAACAAAACCGATGAATTCAAAAATAACATATGATACATCAAATGTTATTAACATATCGAAGATTCATTTAAGTCAACAACAATTAAAAGTAATATCAAAAGGATTAAAATTTGTTCCAACACCAACATCAATTAATACAATAACAACAGTGGTAAATTGTGAAAAATCCTTATTTTCGACATCAAAATTAATAAAAAGTGCAGCAATATCAGAAATATCAACATTTATTCAAAAATGGAGAAAACCTACTAAATTCAATATGAATAAAGAGGAAGTAAAATTATTAAAAGAAATAAAAACAATTGAAGATATTGTTATAGTTCAAGCTGATAAAGGTGGCAAAATAGTTGTTATGAACAAAAACGATTATTTTAATAAAATTGAAGAAAAATTAAATGATTTGAACGTTTATGAACAAGTGAAAAAAGATCCAACAACAATAATCAAAACAGAAATCAACAAAAAGGTTACCAAGATGTTAAATCAAAACAAAATTACAGATCAAAATAAATATTATTTAACATCAATCGATGATCTTCCTAAAATTCGTGGTCAACCTAAACTACATAAAATTGATACTCCGATGAGAATTGTTACTTGTTCACGAGACACAATAACATCACCTATCTCTCAATTCATATTTAGAATAATTAAAGAATTAAGAACAACTTTAAATGGTGTGGTATGTAATACATCAAAGTTTGTCAAAATTATTTCAGATGTTAAATTAAATCAAGACGAACATTTAGCAAGTCTTGATATTCAAGATTTATATACAAACATACCAGTTAGCAAAGCCATCGATATTACATTAAAACGACTTGATGAATCCAAGAAATTGGATAATTTACCATTTACCAAAACTGATATTAAAGAGCTGCTAAATTTAGCCTTAAAGAACAGCTATTTTCAATTTAATGGTAAATTTTACAAACAAAAAACAGGTTTACCTATGGGTAATACATTATCACCAATACTAGCCGACATATACATGGATGAATATCAAAAACAACATTTACATGAAGTAAACATTCCAAATAAAATATGGAGATATGTTGATGATATTCTAATCATTACAAAAATGAATAAACCACAATTGGAAAAATATGTATATGATTTAAATAAAATACGTGGAACAATTAAATTTACCTCAGAATTTGAACAAAATGATCAAATAAATTATCTTGATACAATGTTAACAAAAACAATAATAAATAATGAAATAATACTTAAAGTTAGATGGTTCCGAAAAGATACAGCTGCAGATAGGCTATTAAATTATGAATCAAGTCATGGAAAATCCATCAAAAATAACATCGTTAAAAATATGACTGCAAGGATTTTAGAAACAACTCAAGACAACAAAGATCAACAAGAAGATTTAAATAAATTAAGAGACATGTTATTAAGATCAAATTATCCGTTAAGAGAAATTGAAAAATTAATCAAACAAACATGTCAAGAATTTAAATCAAATAAAAATAAAAATAAATCCAATGATAAAAACGATGATACAGCCGGTCAGATTAAAGATAAAAATAATAATGATTTCATTTGTAGTTTAACATTACCATACGCTCCTGGTATGGAAGTACTTAAAAGAAGACTTGAAAAGAAATTAAAAATCAAATTATTCTTTTCCTATCCATACAAACTACAATCACAATTTAATCAATCATTAAAAGTTCCATCAAAATCTGTTATATATCAAATCCCGTGCTCATGTAAACAAACCTATGTTGGACAAACAAAAGTAGGTATAGATAATCGTATGAAACAACATTCAAAAACCATAAATGATAATGAAAATAATAGTAATTCAGAAATGGTTAAACATTTTCAAGAAAAGAAATTTCAATGTCTATTTGATCCAAATGATGCATTTATAATTGAAGAAGAAAAAGATTATTGGAAAAGACGCACAAAAGAAGCAATATATTCAATAATAAGTGAGTCAGTAAATACACATGATGAAATCAATGCAGCATGGACACCAATATTACATAAAGCAAAACATCAGATTCAACGAAAGATCGAATCAGCTCGAGAAAATTACAACAAATACAAAAGAACAAAAACTTAACGAAAAACAAGACGGTGATAGTGATACGGAAAAGGATTCAATCCTTAGCTAGCTATTACTATTACCGTCTTGTTTTCCGTATCACTATCAAAAGTATGACTAATACTAAAAGAAAAGAAAAATTCGTTTGTATGTACATGTCATTTGTCTTAAAATTTTTTATGTCTGATGAAGTATCTTATCGAGATACGAAACGTCACAATTAATAATTTTTTAAATTTAAATAAATAAAATTTTTTCAATATTAAATCAATCTAAGTTAAAATTAAAATTAAATTGAATTGAATTAAAATTTAAACTTTAAATTTAAAATTAAATTTAAAATAAAAGAAGAGAATAAAATAATGTCAAACAAACAGTACTAGAGAAAATAGATTTTATATAATAAAATTACTCAGAAAAGTTCGACATTAATGAGCCCGAAAACTATTATATAATCCACACTTGAAAGATTGGAAATTCATGCATTGAGTGCATCTATCAAAGTTGGACAAGTGAAAACTGATTACTACGAATATTCACCGGAAAACTTTATATAATAAAATGATAACACACTCAGTGATCTCAAGATTATTACAAATATGACTTATTTTTCTGACATATATGACATCGTTAAAGATTAAGATATTCTATCATTATTAAACTTTTCGTATCAAGAGATTATCATGAGATTGCAAATAAACAGCTATCGAAGAAGTATTGAATCTATCGTAGAATATTTAAAATTCTAGTATATGTCTGCTTCATTTCATTATATGTACAGCTGCACGTTTACTTAATTTATCTTTTTCTTCTAATGAAGCTTCTTCAGTTAGATAATCGACTGATTCTTTGACTGGTGCCAAAACATCAGAATTATAAAATTCAATTAATTTTTGTTTCGATTCAAAAAGAACCAAAACGGCACATTTTTCTGAAGATCTTGATCTTTCTACTAATCTATCATCAATTTCTCTCTTTATCCTATTAAAATAATCTTCACTATTCTCAATCATAATATCGTCTCTTTTAATAAATCTAAGATTAGTTTTTCTAAATACAGATGGAACATATGTATTTTTCAGGATCTTATAATTATTTTGTGTGACTTTTTTCTCAGGATCACTTAGGGTTTCTAATGTATCTGTGACACCCATAATATATTGAACCTAGAGAGATATTTCAGCATATGAAAAATTGCAGCAATTGATTCTTATACTTTTATTTTCATGTAGACTTTCTTCACTTATATTATTTTTTTTCATTTTCACAAAGATATGCAAACAAAGTTTTATGTATCCAATTTAGTCATTTTTGACAACGTAATCATGAGACTCGAACTTATTTACATCCGATAGTATATCTTTTAGAACTTCTCGAATTAATGATTCCAAATTTGGATATCTACCAGAACAAGCTTTATATTCAGTTGTGGCTGTCACTTTAGTACCCATCCATTAAAGACATTTCGTTAAAGAAGAGGATGGTTGTGAATGTGGGGTGTGGGTAGAGAAGTGGTATATGCACATATACCCA